CACACATGTAATAATACACTCACATATATATACACACAAACACATTCGCTCACACTCACACACTCTCATTCACACACCCATACACACACACACACACACACACACATACACACACACATACATTCACACACACACACACACACACACACATACATTCACACACATACACACACGCATTCACACTCACACACACTCACACACAGACATACACACACACATATACACACACACATGCACAAACTCTTTTTTTCCCCTTGGAACTCGACAATGATTAGCTCAGCTAGATCTAGATCTATTTTTTCATCACGTTTTTATTTTCCCCGTTACATTTATACCTAACTACAACCTCTGTCCTTGGCTCCACAGGAAGGAAGGTTCTCGATGGACATACGGTATTACGAATTTTCGAGCCAGATGACTAATTTCCTATTTTTGTTGATTATCTGTGGGTGATTGGCAGGTGCTCTGGTGTGGTTTGCTTCTTCTTTCCTATCAAACATCTATCGTCCTGATCTTCCCTCGTTCTTTTTTAAGCATGTTACTCTCTTGTAACACCTCTAATCTTCTCGCTCGCGCTCACATGACCTTATGCAGTTGCGAGCACCGTAAAACCTCTACTAAAACACACAAAAAAGTTGATTACTTGTGGGTGGGCAGCCCTGCTCTCTGCGGGCAGTTGGTGGGTGCTCTACTCCTCATGCCTCCCCCCCCCCCCCCCCCCCCCCCCCACTCCTTTAGTGTACAGAGCTGCTGGCTTGTTGGTTTTGGGGGGAGTGGGGAGGGGGGGGTAAATTTGTCAGAATTTTGCCGCAAGATGTATTTTACTCCTTAAATTTTGTGTAGCGGGTGGTTGGCAGGTGCTCTTGTGTGGTTTCCACCCTCTTTCCTATCAAACATCTGTCATCTTTCGTCTCTCCTCCTTCTTTTTTGTGCATGTTACTCTCTTGTAACACCTCTAATCTTCGGCACTTATTTGACCTAACTGTGTTGTGAGCGCCGTAAAAACGCTTTCGGTCTCGTGTTCTCGTCCGCCAGGTATGGGCAAAGGTTTGGTCGGAGTGGTCACCCGTCCCACCAGTGGAGTCGTGGACTTTGCCAGCAGCTCGCTGGAAGGCATACGCAGGTAGGCAAATCTAGGTCGTGCACTTCAAGCTCCGAAATGCTCTCAGCTAAAGGGATTTGAAAACAACAACAGGTGACGCTGCTCCTTGAATCCGGGTTTTTTAAATTTATTTTAAAGAAGAAGAAAGAAAACGGGGAATCTGTCTCATCTCGTTGAATCCGAGTTCTCGTTGAATGCGAGCTCATTGAATCCGAGTTCCACTGTAGTCGAAGCAGACTTTGTGCTGTTGAGGCTAGAGAGGTGAGCAGAGTAAGCCTGATTCCCCGTTTGGACTTCTCTGTTGACATCCACCCCTTGGCGCTCGTATGACCTTTTGCAGTTGCGAGCGCCATAAACCCTCACTGGATCTATTTAAACAATTTTTTTACAAAGTGTTTGTTTCCGACAGGTCGTCTTTGTAGGCATGGCTGATGAAAATTAAGAAGAAAAAGAACATTTTTTTTTAAAACAACAAAAACACCACCACTTTCCCTTTTCAAGGTCCTAACAAGATGTGTTTGGACTGCCATAGGCCCATTAAAATGTTGGGGGTTTATTTAGGAGAGGGGGAAGGGGG